GCTTGGCCAGCCCGGGGGAGGACCTGAGAGTGGGTGCAAAACCAGGCTCACCCTGGAGGGGAGCGGGCCCCGAGGGAGCCGTGCCAATATGCGTCTATTGGGGGGGGGGGTCTCGATCTCTTTGTGTTTATCCCCCTTCCAACTATTGCAAATCTCACGTTGGCTTTCTATCGCTGCCCCCACACATTTAGCGCAGGCGTTCCTCCCTGCTCCTGCCCAGGGAAGCAGAGGTGTCGGCGCGCCACGCCGCGCCACACCAGCGGCTTCCCCAGCAAGGTCTCCTGCAGGAGCTGAGGACACGGGACGCGGGAGGGCCGTTAGAGCGGCGCTCACCTCCAGAAACGCTTGCGGAAAACATCAGAGCGCCCTTTGAGCCTTTTTTTAAAAGAAAAGGATTTTTGCAGCTGCCTGTTCTTCCCCCCGTCGCCACAGCGAGGAAAGGTCCCGGCCCTCCCTGCCCGGCCAACCTTTTGGCTCTCGGCTCCTCGGGGAGGCCGCGCTATAGCTGTCGAGCATCTCTAGGCATTGCTGAGCTCTGGCTCCCGGCCCTGCAGCCTCCCGGCCCTCTCGTGTCCCCCCTGCAGCGGTGCAGTCGCACGGCCTGAACCTGCTCTGTCCCGAGTGTCATCCGAGAGCGCTGGAGGGGTAACTTCAGCGCGGACACCCCCCCGGGATGCCCCCGGCCCCACTGCCCCCCGATCCTCCCCGGCTCACCCTTCTCCTGCCACCCCGCAGGGTCTCCATCTGCCTGGCCCCGCTGCAATCTCCGCCACCCCTCTAAACTCGGCCAGCATCGGCCTTCGTGCCTGGCTTGACTTTAGCTGGCTTTGCCTTATATCTTACTCCCAGCAGCGGGACCGAAGGAGGCAATTTGGTTACTGAGCCTCAACTCGTGCCCCAACCTCGCCTCCCTGTTCGGGGGCCGCGGCACGTCCTCCCTGGCAGCCAGGAAGCACGGCGATGGCCCCGGGGCTCTTGTTTTCCCTGCCTTCTGCTCGCTAGCGCTGCCAAAAGGTGCTGGGATGAGCCCTGGGCAAAGGCAGCTTCTCTGAGCTCAGACAGCATCAGCGGAGGCTGAGAAAGGGGCTCCCACTGATCGCGGGAGCCGCGTGCCGGACGGCGGAGGTTTCCCCCGGGAAAGTCAAGCAGGGGATGCCAGCTCAGACGGAACCGGAGCTGTCTGCTGTCATCTGGAGGGGGTTTGTGACCGTCAGCCCTGCTAATAAAGCATGCCGCGGCAACCAGAGGCCAGCGTGCTGCTGGTCTGAGCTGAACTATCCCCCGCCCAACATCGCTCCGAAGGACCCGGCCAGCACCGCTTTGCCCTTGCAGTGGCCAGTCCCCACGTGCCTGGCCGGTGCGCTCCCACATCGCCTCCATCCTGATGGAGGGGCCCATTGGAGAGGGCAGAGTTAAGGGTACTTGGACACGCGCCCCCCAGTACTCCTGCACATGCTTTCTAAAATATGGATGTGGCTGCATCTGCTTTCTTCCTGCAGGGCGCCTGCGAGGAAAGGCTGGGAATCTACATCTGAAATTATGAAAGCTTTGAAACTCCTTATATTTTATATTTATTCCCCCCTCTCCCCATCATTTACAACTCTCTGAAGCTTTCCCTGCCTGTAGAGCCACTGCACATGTGGATTCGGAGCCTTTCATCCGCTCAGACGAGACACCCTCCCTCCTTCCCATATTTGCTTAGGCCAAGTTTTTTATTTACGTAACAAATTGCTCGGAGACACCTTGATGTATCCGAGGAGCTTCAAATGCTGGAACCGATTCATCTGCAGATGGGTGAAGGAAAAGCACAGAGCAAATCGTGGAGGACGGGCTGGGTGTCTGGCCAGAAACCTCCACAGGAGGCCATGCAGTATTCACCCCGCTCCTGCCCTTCTCCCCGGGCATCTGCGACCGGCAACGGCCGTGGTGCGCCCAGTTACACCAGTCCCTTGGCTACCTCCGGCTGTGGGCAGAGGCTGAGAACGGTCCAACTCGTTTCACTTGTGAGCACAGCAGCATTTAAAGCAGAGCCTCCAGGCAGCACATTAGTCTCAATCTGTTACACGATCCTCCCCCCCCTCCCCACTAAATAGCATGTCCCCGGGGGGAATATTAAGCCCAACTCCGTCGTTGTTATGAAGATGGGATAAGCTCCGATTTGCATATCTGAGAAAAATTGCCAGCAGCTTAGGCAGATCAGAGGGAAAAATTCCCTTGCTTTCCCCCCTTTATCCGCAACAAAAGCTCGGGAAATCATCAGAAGATAATTAGCTCGTCGCTTGCTTTTCCTGCCTTGCCCATCCGCGAGAAACGCTCGTCGCGGGCCGGAGAAGGAGCGACCC